ATCTTAAACCAGTACCTTGGCAACCCAGGTAACACACACACACTCTCTGATCCATCTCTTAAACAATTTTAGCAGCAACTTAGGTAACCACACACACACACTCTCTCTAGAGTCCATCTTAAACAGTACAGCAGCAGCAGGTAACACACACACATCTCTCCTGATCCATCTTAAACAGTACAGCAGCAGCAGGCAACACACACACACACTCTCACAGTCCATCTTAAACAGTACAGCAGCAGCAGTTAACACACACACACTCTCTCCTGATGCATCTTAAACAATTACAGCAGCAGCAGGTAACACACACACACACTCTCTGATGCATCTTAAACAGTACAGCAGCAGCAGGTAACACACACACACACTCTCCTGATGCATCTTAAACAGTACAGCAGCAACAGGTAACACACACACACTCTCTCCTGATCCATCTTTAACAGTACACAGCAGCAGCTGGGTAACACACACACACTCTCTCCTGATCCATCTTAAACAGTACAGCATTGGGTAACACACACACACTCTCTCTCCTGATCCATCTTAAACAGTACAGCAGCAGCAGGTAACACACACACACACTCTCCTGATGCATCTTAAACAGTACAGCAGCAGCAGGTAACACACACACACTCTCCTGATCCATCTTAAACAGTACAGCAGCAGGTAACACACACACACACACTCTCCTGATCCATCTTAAACAGTACAGCAGCAGCAGGTAACACACACACACTCTCCTCACAGTCCATCTTAAACAGTACAGCAGCAGCAGAACACACACACACACACTCTCTCCTGATCCATCTTAAACAGTACAGCAGCAGCAGGTAACACACACACACACTCTCTCCTGATGCATCTTAAACAGTACAACAGCAGCAGGTAACACACACACACACTCCTGATCCATCTTAAACAATTACACAGCAGCAGCGAATTGCTACACACACACACTCTCTCCTGATGCATCTTAAACAGTACAGCAGCAGCAGGTAACACACACACACACTCTCTCCTGATCCATCTTAAACAGTACAGCAGCAGCCAGGTACTTACACACTCTCTCCTGATCCATCTTAAACAGTACAGCAGCAGCAGGTAACACACACACACACCTCTCCTGATGCATCTTAGCTGGAATTACAGCAGCAGGTAACACACACACACACTCTCTCCTGATGCATCTTAAACAGTACAGCAGCAGCAGGTAACACACACACTCTCTCCTGATCCATCTTAAACAGTACAGCAGCAACTGAGTGAAAACACACACACTCTCTCTGATGCATCTTAAGCAGTACAGCAGCAACCGTTTACACACTCTCCTGATCCATCTTAAACAATTACAGCAGCAGCAGGTAACACACACACACACTCTCTCCTGATCCATCTTAAACAGTAATCTTAAACAGTACAGCAGCAGCAGGTGCTTACACACACACTCTCTCCCTGATCCATCTTAAACAGTACAGCAGCAGCAGGTAACACACACACACACACTCTCCCTGATCCATCTTAAACGAAATTTTTAGCCGCAGCAGGTAACACACACACACTCTCTCAGATCCATCTTAAACAGTACAGCAGCGGCAGGTAACACACACACACTCTCTCCTGATCCATCTTAAAGGCATTACAGCAGCAACAGGTAACACACACACACACACACACTCTCTGATCCATCTTAAACAGTACAGCAGCAGCAGGTAACACACACACACTCTCTCCTGATCCATCTTAAACAGTACAGCAGCAGCAGGTAACACACACACACTCTCTCCCTGATCATCTTAAACAGTACAGCAGCAGCAGGTAACACACACACACTCTCTCCTGATCCATCTTAAACAATTTTAGCAGCAACCCAGGTAACACACACACACTCTCTCTGATCCATAAACAGTACAGCAGCAACTGGGTAACACACACACTCCTCCTGATCCATCTTAAACAGTACAGCAGCGGCAGGTAACACACACACCTCTCCTGATCCATCTTAAACAGTACAGCAGCAGCAGGTAACACACACACTCTCACAGTCCATCTTAAACAATTACAGCAGCAGCAGGTAACACACACACACTCTCTCCTGATCCATCTTAAACAGTACAGCAGCAGCCCAGGTAACACACACACACTCTCTCTGATGCATCTTAAACAATAATACAGCAGCAGCCCAGGTAACACACACACACACACTCTCCTGATCCATGTAACAATTACAGCAGCAGCAGGTAACACACACACTCTCTCCTGATCCATCTTAAACAGTACCTTGGCAGCAGGTAACACACACACTCTCTCCTGATCCATCTTAAACAATTACAGCAGCAGCAGGTAACACACACACACTCTCTCCTGATGCATCTTAAACAGTACAGCAGCAGCAGCAGGTAACACACACACACACACTCTCTCTGATCCATCTTAAACAGTACAGCAGCAGCAGGTAACACACACACACACTCTCTCCTGATCCATCTTAAACAGTACAGCAGCAGCAGGTAACACACACACACACTCTCTCTGATGCATCTTAAACAGTACAGCAGCAGCAGGTAACACACACACACACACACTCTCTCCTGATCCATCTTAAACAAGGTACAGCGATTAACACACACACACTCTCTCCTAGTGCATCTTAAACAGTACAACGGCAGCAGGTGCTTACACACACACTCTCTCCTGATGCATCTTAAACAGTACAGCAGCAGCAGGTAACACACACACACTCTCTCCTGATGCATCTTAAACAGTAGCAGCAGCAGGTAACACCACATACACTCTCTCTGATCCATCTTAAACAGTACAGCAGCAGCAGGCAGCACACACTCTCACAGTCCATCACTTAAACAGTACAGCAGCAGCAGGTAACACACACACACACTCTCTCCTGATCCATCTTAAACAGTACAGCAGCAGCAGGTAACACACACACACTCTCCTGATCCATCTTAAACAGTACAGCAGCAGGTATACACACACTCTCTCTGATCCATCTTAAACAGTACAGCAGCAGCAGGTAGCACACACCCACACTCTCTCCTGATCCATCTTAAACAGTACAGCAGCAGCAGGTAACACACCGCCTCTCTCTGATCCATCTAAAATTGCAATTTAACTTTTACACACTCTCCTGATCCATCTTAAACAGTACACAGCAGCAGCAGGTAACACACACACACTCTCTGATCCATCTTAAACAGTACAGCAGCAGCAGGTAACACACACACACACTCTCTGATCCATCTTAAGCAATTACAGCAGCAGCAGGTAACACACACACACACTCTCCTGATCCATCTTAAACAGTACAGCAGCAGGTAACACACACACACACACTCTCCTCCTGATCCATCTTAAACAATTGTTACAGCAGCAGCAGGTAACACACACACACACTCTCCTGAGTCCATCTTAAACAATTTTAGCAGCAGCAGGTAACACACACACTCTCTCCTGATCCATGCAAACAATTACAAGCAGCAGCAGGTAACACACACACACACTCTCTCCTGATCCATCTTAAACATTTTTAGCCTTGGCAGGTAACACACACACACTCTCTCCTGATCCATCTTAAACAGTACAGCACAGCAGGTTAACACACACACACACTCTCTCTGATCCATCTTAAACAATTTTGCAGCAGCAGCAGGTAACACACACACACACTCTCTCACAGTCCATCTTAAACAGTACAGCAGCAGCAGGTAACACACACACTCTCCTGATGCATCTTAAACAATTACAACAGCAGCTTAAGGTAACACACACACACTCTCTGATAGTCCATGTAAACAGTACAGCAGCAGCAGGTAACACACACACACACACTCCTGAGTCCATCTTAAACAGTACAGCAGCAGCAGGTAACACACACACACACACTCTCTGATCCATCTTAAACAGTACAGCAGCAGGTAACACACACACTCTCTCTAGTCCATCTTAAACAGTACACAGCAGCTAACAGGTAACACACACACACTCTCTCCCTGATCCATCTTAAACAGTACAGCAGCAGCAGGTAACACACACACACACTCTCTCCTGATCCATCTTAAACAGTACAGCAGCACACACACACTCTCTCCTGATCCATGTAAACAGTACAGCAGCAGCAGGTAACACACACACACACACTCTCTCTCTGATCCATCTTAAACAGTACAGCAGCCAGCAGGTACTTACCTCTCTCTCTGATCCATCTTAAACAGTACAGCATGGCAGCAGGTAACACACACACTCTCTCCTGATCCATCTTAAACAGTACAGCAGCAGCAGGTAACACACACACACACTCTCTCCTGATCCATCTTAAACAGTACAGCAGCAGCAGGTAACACACACACACTCTCCTGATCCATCTTAAACAGTACAGCAGCAGCAGGTAACACACACTCCCTCCTGATCAAGTACCAGCTCCTTGTGAGAGCTTTAATCACACGTTGTGCTAGTGTTTGTTTAGGTACAAGTAGTGTTGTTCTGTTCTCCCTTATCAGTGGCAGTACCAAGAGGTGGCTTGAGGGGGCTCCAGCTCCCCTATAGCCACCCCAGTTTGTTTTTTTACCAGAGTAGCTGTTTTAAATTCTCAGCCTGATGATGTCATAACTTAATTTGTAGAAGGAATTAAGTTAGTTCTTGCTATGTGTTACATTATCCTTACATTTTATTGGCCAACTTAAACACCATTACCTTTTGATGTCCTGCATGCAGATAATATTTGATATAGTTATTATTCTTATTCTTTGCTATGGACAATTATTTTCTCAGTTTCGTGTTGTGTAATTAAAAGTATCTTTAGAAAACGTTGCCATATTTATTGATCTGTAAACATACAATCTAAGTAAAAATGTTGTGCCTGTTCTGTAAACACTGCTTCAAGACACGTCCCAGGCCCCCCCCTTCCAGCCAGATTGCCGCCCCTAAGCCTATCCTATATAGAAATTCTGAAACCGTCACTGTCCCTTATAAAAGGTGTTTGTTGTCAGCAGGTGAAGGTCTCCCGCACACAGCAGGGACACACCTTATGGAGGGAGAGGGAGGAGATGCTGTGTTTGTGTTGGGTCAGACAGGAGGAACACTGCTGGTGGTCAAGATGATAGATCAGCCGTATTCGGTGTTTACCGAGATCATCAAAAACGCCTCCTTGATGAACAGACTCTTCACCGGCTTTGTCCCGGGAATGTTTAGGTTTGTACAAGAGTGTGTGTGTGTGCGTCCTTTACCCTCTCATTGGCTGCAGCAGCTTGTCAGTACAGTACTTATAGTGTACAAGAGAGTGAACTGTGTGGGTCTGAACAAAAACATTTTCTTAACAGTACATCTGACCCAATAATGAAATGTGAATGTTGAACTACATATTGTTATAAAAAGTTAGTCTTATAACCAATGGTATTCATAAATAATTTCTAAAGTATTTGCATCCAGAGTGACACTGTTTCTTTGTACAGTTATTGTATTCTTATAAATACAGTAATGTGCTCAATACTTAACTCTTGTGTTCACTCCACTCGTGGTTGGGGGATATTGCTTATTATGGTTGGTTCTTATGTTGGTTGATGGATGGATGGATATTGGTGGTTGTGGTTGGGTAGTAAGTTGGTTGATGAGGAGATAGAAGGTGTAATGATAAAGGCATTACAATATATTGTTCCCCAACAGAGGCATGGAAGGGTGTGAGACAGTGACCAGTCTGGTGATCAAGGAACTGGCAGGAGACGTGGTGGCCGTGGGTGTGTGTCGCGACGGTAAGGTGAGGGCCTGGTCGTGCTCCCGCCTCCAGTGTGTCCTGGCCCACGATACTCTGGAGAACACAGCTGAGGCTGGACGCAAGTTAAACCCTGGAGGTGAGACTGTGTAGTGTAGTGCTTTATTGTGTAGTGTAGTACAGTACAGTACACAGCCTCTCTGCCATCAAGACTCCTGCTGTGCCTCCTCATGGCAACACACAGTAATTAGGTGGCTCGTGAACCAAAGCTAGACCAGCAGGGGATCTTGGAGCACCAGTGGGCCCCAGAAGGATGGCACATAGGCCCACCGGCATGTGGACACGTCCTGGCATCTACCAACCATTGCCCCGCTGCCTTGTGGATTAACCTTGGCAGGTATAAGGCGACGGGAGTAAACCACGAACGAAAAATCTGCGGTAGAGCCCAACATCAGGCAGACATGCTTACAGATCTCCAGCAAGACCCCAATGGCAGTATAGGCGGAAGAGGTGACCACCATGGAAACCCAACGACTAGACCGGTGGATGAAGGCAATGCAAGAAAGACAGGCTATTAAGATGAAACCCAACAAACTGGGCGATCGACAGTCCTTTGTAACTCTCTCTCCCCAGTCATTGCAGCAACCTGCACCACTGGATCAGGAAAAGATGTGTGGTTGCAGCCTGCTCTCCTGCCTCACCACATAAATCAACTCACGCGCAGCCATCATCCAGCTCATCATACCTCTCATCATCACCAAAACCCCTTTACCCCAAAAGTCCTATGGCGCTGGACGAGTGGCGACTGGGACGGGCAGAGATGACTGCCGTGATTCTCTAGTCACAACTCTGCACATGGGCGGCACAGATAAGATGGTCGTTTATGCACTGGGATCTAGGCAGCAGTGCAAGCAGATTCTGTCTGTGCGACTGAGCTGCCCTTTCGAGGAGCCACTCTGCTCACCCCACATGGGGAGGGGGCTAGAAAAGCATACAGTAGTGTGCTTACAACTCACTTGACTGGGCAACTGCACCCAATAAAGTCATCCTAATGCATTCAAAAATATCACAAGAGATCCAATGAAAAATAAACTATACAACCTCTTATGGTCACTGCATGGAATGTCATGACCCTTCTGGATACTGGCACAAATGAGCGTCCTGAAAGAAGAGCTGCCCTTGTGGCAAAAGAGCTGGCTAGGTAAACATAGACATAGCAGCCATTAATGAGTCCCGGCTCCCAGATGATGACCAACTCACAGAACGGGGTCTGGCTACACCTTCTTCTGAGGACCAACTCACAGAACGGGGGTCTGGCTACACCTTCTTCTGGAAGGGTAAGGCTGCTGTGGAGAGAAACTGCATTTATGGAGCTGGCTTTGCTATCCGCCAATCCATCCTACTCAGGCTAACTTATATGCCTGTTGGGATCAACGAACGGCACATGATGATCTGAGTCCAACCGAGTCACTCGCGTCATGCCTTCCTCATCAGTGCATACGTCCCAACACTGGATGCGGAGGATAACATCAAGGAGGCCTTTTATGCCGACCTTGACAGAGTGCTAACCTCTATCCCTAGAGAAGATAAGGTTGTGCTCCTTGGTGACTTCAGTGCCAGAGTTGGCAGAGATGCTGACATTTGGCAGGGAACCATAGGGAGAAATGGACTCGGGAAGTGTAATCCCAATGGCCTTCTCCTCCTCAGCAAGTATGCTGCACACAACCTCATTATCACCAAGACCTTATTTAGGCAGGCCGACAAGTTCAAGGGTTCGTGGCAACACCCACGATCCAAACGCTGACATCTCATTGATTACATCATTGTCAGCGAGAGATCGCCGAGGTGTCCTCATCACCCGAGCCATGCGTGGCTCACACCACTGTGACACTGATCATCGGCTCATCAGAGCCAAACTCTCCTTTCACGTCGCCCCAAAACAGGGAAGGCAACAGGCCTCCAGAATAACAATAAACAACCTAAATCCATGTCCTACATGGGGTATCTGCGACACTGTCATGACAAACAAAAACCTGCAGCGAGACTCTTGGCCAGAAGGAAACAGTACACAAGGACTGGTACTCTTGGCCAGAAGGAAACACTACACCAGGACTGGTACTCTTGGCCAGAAGGAAACAGTACACCAGGACTGGTACTCTTGGCCAGAAGGAAACACTACATCAGGACTGGTACTCTTGGCCAGAAGGAAACAGTACACCAGGACTGGTACTCTTGGCCAGAAGGAAACAGTACACCAGGACTGGTACTCTTGGCCAGAAGGAAACAGTACACCAGGACTGGTACTCTTGGCCAGAAGGAAACAGTACACCAGAACTGGTACTCTTGGCCAGAAGGAAACAGTACACCAGGACTGGTACTCTTGGCCAGAAGGAAACAGTACACCAGGACTGGTACTCTTGGCCAGAAGGAAACAGTACACCAGGACTGGTACTCTTGGCCAGAAGGAAACAGTACACCAGGACTGGTACTCTTGGCCAGAAGGAAACAGTACACCAGGACTGGTACTCTTGGCCAGAAGGAAACAGTACACCAGGACTGGTACTCTTGGCCAGAAGGAAACAGTACACCAGGACTGGTACTCTTGGCCAGAAGGAAACAGTACACCAGGACTGGTTTGACAAAATAACAAACAAATCAGTGTACTGGTCTGGGTGAATCGGTGGCAGCATGAGTGGGTTATATTATAATATGTTGTGTTTCTTATTACTTACCGTAGAGTTCGACACCTTCACACTGGTTACTTACAGGAGATCATGGCGTATCTACGTAGAAGTTCACTCCACCACTCGACATTCCGTGATTTATACTTGATAAATGATGATTTAATGAATTCCATTAATTTTCAACATCCATCTAAGTTATTGGTTATACTTTGTCATAACCAATCAGTCATTACCTTTAGTAATAATAAGATAGGATCACAGATATGGGCAGATAATTGAACTTACATTTATTTGTCAAGCTTCCATACAATGATTTACAATTTGCATGGATATATGAATCACAAACGTTCACTCTGTAATAAAATTAATCCTCTAAAAGAGAATTTTCAACTTGGGGACACATGTGATTACTCTACTCTGGGTATGACTTAACAGAGCCTTAATTCTTCAAGTGATACATATACTGTCAGGCTGGATTGCTTTTGTTGCAACCAGGTTTCATCACAAGAACTTCTTTCACGGGGAATAACAACAAAAAGTACTCTTGGGTTACCACACATAGTCTCGCGTCACTGAAAGTCACTGTAGACGGTTGTCGCGGCAAGGAGAACTGATAAGCGTGACTTGAATTAACCATTTAGGTGCAATAGACCAGCCTGGATTGCTCTCGTTTCAACCAGGCTTCCACACGTGATATTTCCACGGGGATAACAACCTAGGTTAACACACTTAGTCTCGTGACGACGACGGTCCACAGGACGGAGTGGCGGTGGAGGACTCTGTGTGGTGTCCCGCTCCCTTTCAGGAGAGAGAGGATGGGAACGGCGTCTTAACTAACCCATGGCCAAGGGAATACTACTTAAAATGAGGTTTTGAGTGTGAAGCGATGAACAGTACAACACTGTCTACTGCTCCTCCCCCTAAAGGCTGGCTAACATACCACTAATGGAAAATACATGTCCCAGTTATGCCTCGCCGGGTCCCTCATCTCTAGTAAAACAAACTTTGGAGTTGGTTGCGTGGGTAAGCCTAACGCAACCCATGACATCGTCGATGATAAATGTGCTGCTGTAACTGACTGGCAGAACAACCCTCAGTCTCAGATCAAAGCTGATGCCTTCCACCAGAAGAAAGTGGCAGCCCAGCTTGAAATTTGCAATCTAAGGAATGACTGGTTTAAAGATAAAGCACGTGAAACGCAAAATCTTGCAAATCGGCTCAAGATGCGTGAATTTTTCATTTCCACTAAAATGATGTATGCCCCAACTACCCTGGCAGGCCCGCCCCCGCACATCTGATGGTAACTCCTTAATTAAAGACGAAGAAGGCATCCATCAGTGCTGGGAACAACACTAACATTTGCTGACCCACCTCAGCTATCCTCCATCCCTGGATGAGGTAGCTACTGCCACCAAACAGATGAAAAATAACAAAGCCTCAGGGCCTGATGGAATCCCAGCCGAGGTGCATAAAGCAGGAGGACCTCTGCTTACCAGCCGTCTCCACTCTCTCCTGGAGAATATATGGGAAAAGGAGGAAACCCCCCAAGCTCTTAAAGACGCCTCCATCGTCAATATTTATAAGAACAAGGGAGACCGGTCAGACTGTGGCAACTGCTGTGGGATCTCGCTGCTCTCCGGAGCTGGCAAGATTATTGCCCAAGTCCTCCTAAACATGACTACTACCAGAGGCGGAAAACTTCCTCCCAGAATCTCAATGTGGTTTTGGACCATCACGTGGCACCACTGACATCATCTTTGCTGCCCACCAGATACAGGTAAGGTACAGTGTCCTGTACAATGGCACCCAGTCTGAGTTCTTCCCCATCCAAACGGGGGTAAAACACGGATGTGTACTGTCACCAACTCTCTTTTCCATTTTCTTGGCTGCCTTCCTTACTCGTGCCAGTGCCAAAGTGGCCGGTGGGATGGACTTTTCAACATAAGACGACTCCAGGCAAGACCAAAAGTGTCAGCATCTTCCATCATGGAACCTCAGTATGCAGACGACCTTACTCTCGTCGCTCACGCTGATCGCTATATACAGGAGATCCTGAACACATACGCAGGTGCACACTTCAGCCTTGAGGTGAATGTATGCAATACTCAGATTCTCTTTCAGACTGCCCTTGGTTTAGCCACACTTCCACCATTCATCCAGCTTAACGGTACTACCCTCTAATTTTACCCACTTTTAGTATCTCGGCTCCCACCTGTTCGCCATTGTGGACATTGATGAAGATATTCAAAATCATATCAGATGTGCATCTCATGCCTTTGGCAGACTCCGTACCTGTGTACATGTATCTAACTGTGGTCGCATACAGGAGGCACCTCAAGGCACTTGAAAACTTTCACCAACGTTGTCTACGATCCATCCTCCGAGTTTGCTGGGAAGACAAGAGAACAAATGCCAGTATTCTTGCTGACACCAACTGTAGGAGCATCTAGGCTACCGTTGTCCATGAACACATATGTTGGAATGGCCATGTTACCCGCATGGGTGACAGTAGACTGTTAAAACAGCTACTTTACAGTCACCTAACGAATAGTAAACGTTATTCTTGCGGACAACTAAAAGTGCCATAAAGACCACACAAGAAGGTGTCAATATTTTCGAGTTAGCCCGACTGCATACCAAGGCAGACAAGTGCCAGCGCCAGAAAGACGCTGCTGCTGCTGCACCAGGTCACCGCATCTCTGTGTCGTGGCTGGTGGGGAGGGAGCACCAGTCTGCAGGCCTAACACTGTCCTCACCGTCTCTACATCATCTGGGTTCTGTTTCTTCCCCATCATTGTCTTCCTCACTCAATACTCTATCAGTACCACTCAAATCAAACAACTCTTGATGAACAGCACAACTGTCAAGCAAATGCCTTCACTTGGGTGTGGAGGAGTGAGGTGGGTCATAAGAGAGGTCTAAGGACGTGCATCTATCACAGTGTCTGACGGGTCACTGACCATGAGCCCTGAGTCTTGAGACAAATACATCCTGGTTGAGTTGTCAAGTACACCAATATCTCTTACAAAGTATTCCCTCCCACCTGGACAGTCAAAACATGTCACAAAAATAAAGAGCGTTCATGAACGTCACCTGGGGTTTAAGGGTTAATAACTCATATCATTGTATCATACCTAGGTGATCGTCATACTCGATTCCAAGTGACAGCAAAGTAGTACAGGAAGTTGTAGTAAAGTGTAGTGTTTCTAAGTTGTGTTGTGTTTCAAAGTTGTTTTGCAGTAGATAATATTGTATGATAATAATGAACCTGTATTTGAGACTAACGAGTGTGTGTCTGGTCCTCAGCTCAGCGTCACCAGATACGCAGTCATGGTCAAGGAGAGAGCACCGTCCTGGGTGTGTTCCTCAACTTTACTGAGAAACACCTGCTGGTCGTGTACCAGCCAACAGTCAACCTGGGCCAAGTTACACTCACCCATGTGAAGACTCTCTACCCTCCTCAGGTGAGTACGAGTGTGTACTTCACCAGGTAGTGTGTGTACTTCACCAGGTAGTGTGTGTGTACTTCACCAGGTAGTGTGTACTTCACCAGGTAGTGTGTGTACTTCACCAGGTAGTGTGTACTTCACCAGGTAGTGTGTACTTCACCAGGTAGTGTGTACTTCACCAGGTAGTGTGTGTACTTCACCAGGTAGTGTGAACTTCACCAGGTAGTGTGTGTACTTCACCAGGTAGTGTGTACTTCACCAGGTAGTGTGTGCATTTCACCAGGTAGTGTGTGTACTTCAACAGGTAGTGTGTGCATTTAACAGGTAGTGTGTATTTCACCAGGTAGTGTGTACTTCACCAGGTAGTGTGTGTAATTTCACCAGGTAGTGTGTACTCACCAGGTAGTGTGTAATTTCAACAGGTAGTGTGTGTACTTCACCAGTGTGTGTACTTCACCAGTAGTGTGTACTTCACCAGGTAGTGTGTACTTCACCAGGTAGTGTGTACTTCCACCAGGTAGTGTGTGTACTTCACCAGGTAGTGTGCACTTCACCAGGTAGTGTGTAATTTCACTCAGGTAGTGTGTACTTCACCAGGTAGTGTGTACTTCACCAGGTAGTGTGTACTTCACCAGGTAGTGTGTACTTCACCAGGTAGTGTGTGTACTTACCAGGTAGTGTGTGTACTTCACCAGGTAGTGTGTGTGTATTTCACCAGGTAGTGTGTAATTTCACCAGGTAGTGTGTACTTCACCAGGTAGTGTGTACTTCACCAGGTAGTGTGTACTTCACCAGGTAGTGTACTTCACCAGGTAGTGTGTGTGTACTTCACCAGGTAGTGTGTGTACTTCACCAGGTAGTGTACTTCACCAGGTAGGTGTGTATCACCAGGTAGTGTGTAATTTTTCACCAGGTAGTGTGTACTTCACCAGGTAGTGTGTGTACTCCCCACCAGGCAGTGTGTACTTCACCAGGTAGTGTGTGTACTCACCAGGTAGTGTGTGTACTTCACCAGGTAGTGTGTACTTCCACCAGGTAGTGTGTACTTCACCAGGTAGTGTGTACTTCACCAGGTAGTGTGTACTCACCAGGTAGTGTGCACTTCACCAGGTAGTGTGAACTTCACCAGGGTAGTGTGTGCACTTCACCAGGTAGTGTGAACTTCACTCAGGTAGTGTGTGTGTACTTCACCAGGTAGTGTGTACTTCACCAGGTAGTGTGCACTTCACCAGGTAGTGTGTACTCACCAGGTAGTGTGTACTTCACCAGGTAGTGTGTGTACTTCACCAGGTAGTGTGTGTGTACTTCACCAGGTAGTGGGACACACAAATATTGATAATAAACAGTTTATTTAGCCAGAAACATACAGGTACAGAGTGGATAATATTACCATGGCTGAGGTGTCATGAAGTAATGCTGCAACAAGTCACCTCAACAAGTGTTGAAAGTATTTCAATAATCTTCCCTAGATGATCAAGAGTGCAGCAGTTTGTTGATTAGGTTTTGTTTTCTTCCTCAGTACGACTTGGTTGACTTCAGCCTCACGTCGTCGTACATCTGGACGTTGTGGACAGATGCCAACAACGAGACACAGGTGAGTGTCTGTGTAGGGTAGTTGTTACAACAGGTAGAGGCTGTACTAGTAATGGGTCATATGTCAAACAATAATTGGCAGCTGCCATCACACACTATAACTGTACAATTCAGTATGTACATGTACAGTGATCCCTCGGTTAACGAGCGCCTCGGTTAACGAATTACCTTCCATAAGATTCTTCACTGCTCCTGCGTCCAAGGTCACCACTCCTCCCAACTCGCTCCCTCCGCTCCCTCCTCTGCCTCCTCCACCTCCTCACCGTCACTACTGCCGACAACAAACACAAATGTTTTGTGAATAACTGCACCTCCACTACCTATGTACAGTACTAAACTGTATTGTGCTGTGCATTTTTACAAACAAAAAACATGGCGAGAAAAGCTATTAAAAAAAAAGATAAAAATTTCACTTTACTGTACAGTTCCTATCCTCGGCGACAGGACGGGGGTCATCGGGCTCGTCGTCACTCAATTCCATAACAGGTGGTGAAGTGGGGGCGACGGTGGATTCAGCTGCTTCCTCACTGCCGCCAGTGATTGATGGTGTTAAATCTCTCCTTCAGTGATCAAAGAACATGGTGATGGGGAGTTGTCGTCTCTTTCTTTTCATTTCTTCCATGATGTTTTTGTATGGAACAACAGCATCATCCATCCCTCGCATGAATTTCAGGGCACGCACCATGGAGGGGTCCATACTATAGGCCAGGTTTTTCAGTGCCTCAAACATCCTGGTCATCTCCCCCAACTTCTCCAACGTTATTTCTTGGTGCTCTTCCTCATCCTCTTTCCATTTCGCTTCCTCTTCCTCTTCCTTGCCTGAGTCTACTAACTCCTGTAGATCCTCCTCGGTCAGCTCAGTGTCGTGCTCTTCAATTAGCTCCCTAATCTCGTCCTCTGCCATGTCCCGGAAGCCTTCAGCAGCCACTTTCCTTGACAGTGCCAGGGTCTTTCTGAATATTTTCATTAAAATCCATCAAAATCATTTTCCTTGTCATCGTCTTAAGCACCAAACAGCTCCTCTCAGTCTTCTCCTTGAACAGGGCTAGAGGGTACGTGTTTTTCGAATCGTTTTAAATTAAAAAAATGTTACAGCACATGTATATTTTACCTAAACTGCGCCTGAATAAATATATTCTCAGAAATAAATAGTAGTTTTGCTGAAACGTGATGTATTTCAATGTAAAATAGGATAAAATACATGACGAAAACAAGAGACTTTACCTAACCTTCCGATGTTCAAGAGATGTTACTCGTTTTTTTAATAGTTTTCGGTTAAAATACTGTTATATTACAATGATATTCTATTCATACTGTGCTTGATATAATACATTCACGGAAATGTAATATTTTTGCTGAAATTACGTACGTATTACAGTGGAAAGTGGGATAAAATAGTGACAAAAACAATGACTTTCGCTTTCTTTCGTAAAAAAAAGGTGTTACCGTAATCGCTTTTCGAATGGTTTTCAGTTAAAAAAACGGTTGCATCACAAGTGAATTAGGATGGAATATTATTGTAATGCAACATTTTTTAACTGAAAACCATTCGAAAAGCGATTACGGTAACATCTTTTGAACGAAAGAAAGCGAGTCATTGCTTTCGTCACTTTCCACTGTAATACGTACATCATTTCAGCAAAATATTACATTTCCATATTCTCAGAAATAAATAGTAGTTTTGCTGAAACGTAATGTATTTAAATGTAAATTAGGATAAGCTACATGAAAACAAAAGACTTTACCTAACCTTCCGATGTTCAAGATATGTTACTCGTTTTTTTAGTAGTTTTTGGTTAAAATACTCTTATATTAGTGATATTCTATTCATACTGTGCTTAATATAATACATTCACAGAAATGTAATATTTTTGCAACTACAATGCTGATGTCAACACAAGCGTGGTTACAGCGAGACTGACTGAGTGAGGGAGAGCTATGCGTTGTGTGTGAGGTTGCGGGAGCGGGCGGTGTCCCGTGTTTGGTGCCGCGCGCGAGTTGAATGTGCTTCAATTACTTCAATGTACAGAATATTCCTCCGGTGGGGCAATCCGCGTATTTGCAAATCCGTGTATGCTAAACCCGCGTATGTTAAAGGCCGACTGTACACCAAGAGAACTAAAATTTTATGGGTGAAATGGCGCCATGGGGTGACTTCTCTTCCACCCCAATGCCTTCTCTTTTCCCTTCTCCTCCACCCCCATTCTAATTCCCATCATCATCAACCAGGAGCCTTCTACATGCACACCTCAGAGTAAGTGTACTTTACTGCATTTATTTTTAGTTTGTATGTAATTTTCGGTGAGCTGGAACCAATTACCCAAAAACCCATTGAAACAATGGTTTCGGTTAACAAATTTTTCGGTTAACGAGCAACCTTCTGGAACGAATTGTGCTTGTTAACCGAGGGACCACTGTATTCTCAAAAATAAGGCATTAATAAATATAGAACCAAACCTTATCCAGTAATATCTCCTTTAGCTGTAATCCCTCAAACTGGAAACTCTCTGATAGCTGGAATTGAAATTTTCCCGGAAGATCGTTCCCAAAGCCGGAATTGTCCGGAAAATTCTGGATTTTGGAACAGTTTTCTGAGGGGCGCATTTTTCGAAAATTCCGAGAAATTTTTTTCGGAAACCGGAAAATTCCGGAATGGGTGATATTTTTCCGGCCTTGAGAGAGTCGTCTCGTTTCTCAGAAATCTCTCATTCCGGGGATTGCTTTGCACCGAATGTTCTGCCGACCGGAGATATCACTGTATTCAAATAACTACTGTGCAGGTATGCAGGAAAACAATGACAAAACTTTATGGAGATGCAACTTTTAATATTTTAATCTGGCTACCACTAGATGATTTTATTCAGCTGGGAAAGTTCCATCTTGTAGCTAAGGGGTTAAACAAAACTTGGCTGCTTCTACAGGATATAGAGTCAAACTTATCCTTAATATATTTGCTCATAAGTGCTCCCTCATGCAAAGGAACACCTTACTTAGAACACGTATTCATCCCCCTCTCATCCTTTTGTAACTTCAATATTTTCATCTGGTTAACGCTAGACGATGACTCTTGGCTGAGGAAACCCCGCCAGTATTGTCTCCTTCCCACAGAAAGACACATACCATGATACACTCCTCCCCTCTCCCTCCTGCTCACTAGTAAATGCTTTGAATTCACACTACAGGGATAGAGGATTGGTAATGCAAAAAGGCAAATACAGGAGTGAAGGCAACTGTACATAAGTTCTCTATGCACTGTTGCAGCCATTAGCGACATGTAATATTCTTCAGAGGCAAACTTGTATGCATGACGATACATCTTGTTTTTTGTTTTCCAGCTGCTGTACGCCCCAGTCAACAGTGTAGAGGAGTCGAAGGATCCCCCTGGCTTCTCTTCAGTTGTGTTGGAGTCGCCCCCAGAGAAGGAAGTCCCCCTCACAGACCCATTTCTGGACCCTCGGGAGGTCTACTTACGAGAGCTCTTCATGCCTAATAGATTCTCTGCCCACACTCTTCGTAAAGCTTTAGGGGTGAGTAGATGGGGACTTGACCAGGCTGAAGGTGTGAGTGTGTGAGAGAGAGAGAGAATGGTGTGTGTAGCCATTATCAGTGGAAGTTAGCTGTAGGGACGGTGGCCATCATCAGTGGAAGTTAGCTGTAGGGACGGTGGTCATCATCAGTGGAAGTTAGCTGTAGGGACGGTGGTCATCATCAGTGGAAGTTAGCTGTAGGGACGGTGGCCATCATCAGTGGAAGTTAGCTGTAGGGACGGTGGCCATCATCAGTGGAAGTTAGCTGTAGGGATGGTGGTCATCATCAGTGGAAGTTAGCTGTAAGGACGGTGGCCATCATCAGTGGATGTTAGCTGTAGGGACGGTGGCCATCATCAGTGGAAGTTAGCTGTAGGGATGGTGGTCATCATCAGTGGAAGTTAGCTGTAGGGACGGTGGTCATCATCAGTGGAAGTTAGCTGTAGGGACGGTGGCCATCATCAGTGGAAGTTAGCTGTAGGGACGGTGGCCATCATCAGTGGAAGTTAGCTGTAGGGGCCGGTGGCCATCATCAGTGGAAGTTAGCTGTAGGGACGGTGGCCATCATCAGTGGAAGTTAGCTGTAGGGACGGTGGCCATCAGTCTCCCTTGTTTACACTGTCTCCTTTTTTCACAGATCTACCGTCGCAGTGTAGACTTCTCCAGTGTGGGTGACAGGGTTATGTGGAGACTAAAGGAGGAGGTGGAGGCAGCACTCAGGGACCAGGTGGAGGCTCGCCTTGCCTCCAACCTCTCGGAGGAGGAAGTCTCACAGATGACACTGGAAGCTTGGGCCACATTTTACTCCCACACACTCCAGTACCACCAGGTATGTCTCATCCCACCACCATCATCGCCACCAACATCATCATCATCATCATCATCATCATCATCATCATCATCATCATCATCATCATCATCATCATCGCCACCACCACCATTGTTTGGGCCAGGTTTTGATATCAAACGATCTCACTTGTTAACACTTGCCTGAATGAGTGTAGAGTAGTCGCTGGTTTTTGATGAAGCTGGGTGAGATAATAGGTAATCTCAGGGCGTGTCACCTTATTTTGATGGTTGAATCGTTAAGTCCCACGCCCTGGGTACACTTTGTAATTATCTTAGCTTAGTATACACAAGTGTACACAGGTTCTGTTATCTTCATTTGTGGTTCCTTGGTTTAATGTAAAACACATTGATTTTCTAGTTATATTGGATCAAATTGTTTGTTGCTGAGCATTAGCTATTAGCTTAAATAGCTTATATTTGAGAGATATTCAAATATGCTGCTTGCGTCTCTTTGGTGCGATTGTCTGGCTGTGAACTAGGCGAACCTCTCTGTGTCTGCAGGAGGTATGTACTCTATATGCCAACACAGAGATAGAGGCTACACTCCACAGGCCTACTCTCACGGTGGTCTGGGGATATATATTTATGGGTTGTAACCTGAATCTGTGTGAAACAACAAATGTTTATGTGTGCTGTCCTGGTGTGACAGAACAAATGCTATGTAGCTGTATGCTCAATAGTCTGGGTGACGGAATGTATATAATGAATGGATGTCCTTAGCCCATATTTATATAATACTAATTGTTAAGGGCTGGAACACCACAACCACCACCATCATCATCATCACCACCATCACCACCATCATCATCATCATCATCACCATCTCATCACATCATCCACCACCATCATCACCACCACACCATCACCACCATCATCACCACCACCATCACCACCACCATCATCATCACCACCACCATCACCATCACCACCACCATCATCCACCACCACCATCATCACCACACCACCTCCCTACCATCACCCACCATCACTACATCATCATCATCATCATCATCATCCATCCTCCATCACCACCATCATCACCACCATCACACCACCACCATCATCACCATCATCACCACCACCATCCACCACCATCACCATCATCACCACCATCATCTATACCACCATCCATCTCTACCATCATCACACCATCACCACCATCCATCCACCATCATCCACCATCATCACCACCACCATCATCACCATCACCACCATCACCAACCACCACCCCACCCATCACCCACCCACCATCACCACCATCATCACCATCACCACCATCATCCTTCACCATCCATCACCACCATCATCACCACCACCATCAACCACCATCACCTTCATCATCATCACCACCATCACCCCACCATCATCACCACCACCATCATCACATCATCCACACCACCACCACCATCATCATCACCACCATCTTCATCATCACCACCATCTTCATCATCACCACCATCATCATCACCCTCATCACCATCATCACCCCACCACCATCATCACCACCACCACCATCACCACCATCACCACCACCACCATCCCATCATCATACCACCACCATCATCACCACCACCATCATCCTCCATCATCACCACCACCATCATCACCACCACCATCATCATCATCACCATCATCATCACACCACCACCACATCATCACCCATCATATACCACCACCATCATCATCACCACCACCAATCATCACCACCACCACCCATCATCATCACCATCATCACCATCACCACCACCACCACCATCATCATCATCATCACCACCACCCACCACCACCACACCACCACCTTCCACCACCATCATCACCACCATCATCCTCATCAATCACACCATCATCACCACCATCATCTTCATCATCCCCATCATCATACCACCATCATCCACCCACCATCACCACAACCATCATCATCATCACCACCACCACAACCATCATCACCACCACCACAACCATCATCACCACCACCACCACCATCATCATCATCACCACCACCACCACCACCACCATCATCACCACCACCACCATCATCATCACCATCATCATCACCCCACCATCATCACCACAACCATCATCATCACCACCACCACAACCATCATCACCACCACCACAACCATCATCATCACCATCATCACCATACCCAGGTTAAACACTTCTACAGTATTATTGTGTTACAGGTTGGACACAAGCCAGTGGTGTTGTTGGTGGGGAGGAGATCGCCTGGTTGGTGTGGTAGGAAGGCTGTCGTAAGGTAGGTGCTGCCGATGGGCGCTCTGGAGTGGTGGCGTTGGCCTCGAGAGCCTCAGCGTGGCCGCCCTGGGCCGGAGTGCTGGCGAAAACGCCCGGGTGGCGCCGCCGTCGTGGCGCTGGCCAAGCCGCTGCGTGGAATGCGGCAGATGCTGCCCCTGGAAGTGGCTGCTGCATTTACTCTTGACCTTCACCATCTGCAGCCACCAGACCAAGTTGGAGCTTCCATCACCGCTTCACTCTTGGCCGACAGTGCAACTCTCTCAACCACCTTAGGGCAGCAGCTGGCCAGTGTGTCTGGCTTGGTGGCTGGGCTTGTGGCTTATCTTCATGCCCTGCAATTGGACATGGGTATGCCTGATGCTCTTACCTTAGAAAATGGAATCTCTTCATGGCGGGAAGCCTGGCCGGTGCTCTGTCCGGACGTCTTGGGGGCGGCCGTCATCAGCGCCGTGGTCTCCCAGGTGGCAAAAGTGAGGTTGGAGCTGTGCCGAGACTTGTTGCTCCTGCAGCAGGTGGCACTTCATTTGGGTCACCAGTGTCGCCTCACCCCAGGCTGCCGCTCAGTTGCGTTCTACGCTCTTGCCACTGCTCTCCTCACTCAGGCGTATTTTGCTCTCCTGCGTTCCACGACTGCTGCCATCAACCTCAGGCCGCTAGAAGCAGGGCGTCAATTTGCCGCGCTGTCTCTCAGTGACGGCGGGGGTGGTTCTGGCAGGTCGTCCTGCCACTGTTTACAGCTCTTTTTTCTGAGCAGCGGAGGGATCAGGCACGGACTAGTCAGACCTTCATTAGGCGACAGCACCGGCACTGGCTACCCGGACTCGGCTGGGCGGCTCTTGATGCCACTGGCAGCAGCGGTTGCCCAACTGGCAGCCCATCAGCCGTTGCTTGGTGTTGGTGGAGTGGCTGGTGTGGGGGGGACAACATGGAGCTGTACAGGAATATGTAAGACTTCTACAACCTTGGTGTAGGTGGAACAGCTGCTCCAGGAAGTTCTTGTTGGGTGTAGCACTTCTCAACCAAGGAGAGGCTACCAAGGCCGCCCGTCTCCTGTTGGCAGCCCTCGAGGGAGTTGTCACCGAAGACTTCCTGGGCGTAAAAGTGGCAGGAGGAGGACAAGAGACCCTCCCGGATCAGCTCCGTGTAATGTACTGCCTTCGCGTGATCCGTCTTCTGGAGCAGAGCGGACAGCCGGCTCTGGCCCTGCAGGTGGCTCAGGAGGGAGTGGCCAGCTCCTCCAACCACCCGTCCATGTCTGCTCTGTACTCGGTGGTCTTCAAACATCACCTGGAGCTGAACCACCATGATGAAGCCTTCACCGCCCTCCTCGCCTGCCCAGACCAACACCGCAAGCGCAACTGTCTCCGTCAACTGATCGTATCTCTTCATGACAGGAAGTAAGTGTGTCATTAGATTGCATGATGAACAGTCATTAAGTAACACAGTTAAGACCTACAGACAGTATGGGTGTCACAGCACTTGATTTGCGAGACTGTACTGTTGGGATAGTGTCTTAGTGAATAGTAGTAGCCTGCTGCAAGACAGAACTACACAGTACAGTACAGGGGCACAACACAGCACAGGGCAAAACACAGCACAGCACAGTACAGTACAGGACACAACTAACACAGTACAGTACAGGGCACAACACAGTACAGTACAGGGGCTCAACACAGTACAGTACAGGGCTCAACACAGTACAGTACAGGACACAACACAACACAGTACAGTACAGGGCACAACACAGTACAGTACAGGCTCAACACTGTACAGTACAGGGCACAACACAGTACAGTACAGGGCACAACACAGTACAGTACAGGGCACAACACAGTACAGTACAGGACCTAACCAGTACAGTACAGGACACAACACAACACAGTACAGTACAGGGCACAACCACAACACAATTACAGTACAGGGCACAACACAGTACAGTACAGGGCTCAACACAGTACAGTACAGGGCTCAACACAGTACAGTACAGGGCACAACTGCTGGTACAGTACAGGGCACAACACAGCACAGGGCAAAACACAACACAGTACAGTACAGGGCACAACACAGTACAGTAGGGCTCAACACAGTACAGTACAGGGCACAACACAGTACAGTACAGGACACAACACAGTACAGTACAGGGCCACAACACAGTGCAAGTACAGGACACAACACAACACAGTACAGTACAGGGCACAACACAGTACAGTACAGGGCACAACACAGTACAGTACAGGACACAACACAGTACAGTACAGGGCACAACACAGTACAGTACAGGACACAACACAACACAGTACAGTACAGGGCACAACACAGTACAGTACAAGGGCACAACACAGTACAGTACAGGGCACAACACAGTACAGTACAGTACAGGGCACAACACACAGTACAGTACAGGGCACCACAACACAGTACAGGGCAAACACAGTACAGTACAGTACAGGGCACAACACAACACAGTACAGTAGGGCACAACACAGTACAGTACAGGGCTCAACACAGTACAGTACAGGGCACAACACAGTACAGGTACAACACAACACAGTACAGTACAGGGGCACAACACAGTACAGTACAGGGCACAACACAGTACAGTACAGGGCAACACAACACAGTACAGTACAGGGCACAACACAGTACAGTACAGGACACAACACAACACAGTACAGTACAGGGCACAACACAGTACAGTACAGGGCACAACACAGTACAGTACAGGGCACAACACAGTACAGTACAGGACACAACACAACACAGTGCAGTAGGGGCACAACACAGTACAGGGGCACAACACAGTACAGTACAGGGCACAACACAACACAGTACAGTACAGGGCACAACACAGTACAGTACAGGACACAACACAACACAGTACAGTACAGGGCACAACACAGTACAGTACAGGGCACAACACAGTACAGTACAGGGCACAACACAATTGCAGGACACAACTAACACAGTACAGTACAGGGCACAACACAGTACAGTACAGGGCCTCACAGTACAGTACAGGGCACAACACAGTGATACAGGGCACAACACAGTACAGTACAGAGGACAACACAGTACAGTACAGGACACAACACAACACAGTACAGTACAGGGCACAACACAGTACAGTACAGGGCTCAACACAGTACAGTACAGGACACAACACAACACAGTACAGTACAGGGCACAACACAGTACAGTACAGGGCTCAACACAGTACAGTACAGGGCTCAACACAGTACAGTACAGGGCACAACACAGTACAATTACAGGGCACAACACAGTACAGTACAGGGCACAACACAGTACAGAAAGTACAGTACAGGGCACAACACACAGTACAGTACAGGGCACAACACAGTACAGTACAGGGCTCAACACAGTACAGTACAGTACAGGACACAACACAACACAGTACAATTACAGGGCACAACACAGTACAGTACAGGGCTCAACACAGATACAGTACAGTACAGGACACAACACAACACAGTACAGTACAGGGCACAACACAGTACAGTACAGGGCACAACACAGTACAGTACAGGGCACAACACAGTACAGTACAGGACACAACCTAACACAGTACAGTACAGGGCACAACACAGTACAGTACAGGGACTAACAGTACAGGCAACACAACACAGTACAGTACAGGGCACAACACAGTACAGTACAGGACACAACACAACACAGTACAGTACAGGGCACAACACAGTACAGTGGCACAACACAGTACAGTACAGGGCACAACACAGTACAGTACAGGACACAACACAACACAGTACAATACAGGGGCACAACACAGTACAGTACAGGGCACAAACAGTACAGTACAGGGCACAACACAACACAGTACAGTACAGGCACAATACAGAGTACAGGACACAACCTACAGTACAGTACAGGGCACAACACAGTACAGTACAGGGCACAACACAGTACAGTACAGGGCACAACACAGTACGATACAGGACCTGACAACACAGTACAGGGCACAACACAGTACAGTACAGGGCACAACACAACACAGTACAGTACAGGGCACAACACAGTACAGTACGGGCACAACCTGATACAGTACAGGACACAACACAACACAGTACAGTACAGGGCACAACACAGTACAGTACAGAGGCACAACACAGTACAGTCAGGACACACACAACACAGTACAGTACAGGGAACAACACAGTACAG